CAGTCCACCCCTGATGGAATTGTTAGATATTTTCAACTATTTGGTACCATGAATTAAGATGTTAATAGGTACGCCGACGTATAATATAATAATAATATATTATTATTATTATCATTATTTCCATGTGCACCAAGACAATTAACAATGATTTACACTTCCTGTTCACTTGATATTATTTATACAGTAAGACTGCGCGTAGCGTTCCGTGGAAATCGTTTCACCACAGTGCAGGCCGCGGACAGCGCGCTCTTTATATAGTCCGACTATGGGGATAACTACCACCCGGCCGTGATCGTCTAGTGGTTAGGACCTTGCGTTGTGGCCGCAATAACCCAGGTTCGAATCCTGGTCACGGCACAAAATCTTTTTGCAGAAAAATCCCGGTAAAACGACCGGAAAATTATTATTGGACTCGACGCGGGCCGCCGCCGCATTGTTGTCGCGTTACGGTTTTTCCGACAGTCACGCCGATCGTTTTTCACGTACACGTCGTTTACCACCACCGTGTTACCGTTGTTACCTATACGTTTCGGTACTATTTTTATATATAGGTATCTTAAATTATTTGAACAATAATTTTTATCGGTTACCACTTGATTTTTTTTTTTTTCAATATCTAATCTAGCTCGTCGAGTGTTACTGCTGAGTAACGAAAACTTCCCTCAAACATTCACTACCATTGTATATTTACACTAATATTAATATGCTTATTGTAATCATGTTTACAGATTGTATAAATTATAWTCTAATAAATGTAAAAAAAAACAATATCTAATTATCGCGTAAGTAAAAGGTTATAAATTTATAATTATTGGGTATTATATTATTATTATTATTATTTACCGACGACTACGGAGAACGTCTTGCTGGACAGCAAATAATGTATATAAATGCCAGTATATTATATCATGTCTGTAAACTTGATCTCGTGATAAATAAATAAAACTGAGTACAATCATCGTCCAGATCGTGATAGATATAATTATCTTAATCTGTGTTATAAATAAAGAATTTCACAAAGCTATAGTTAAGGCCCGTGCAAATGAGTAATTTTTAAGGAGTTGTGCTTAGGCAATTCTTTCACCCCTTGCTGTCACTTCTCGTCTGTGAGCGTGTGGTAAATGATCATCGATGTCCACRCACATGATCCATATTATTACAAACCCACATGCACACATCGTCCTGTAATTTGGTCATTATATTAAAATATTCCAATTTATGGACTTCAAATAGGTATATCTATACGCCTGGCAAAAATGTAAATATACTTCCAGAGGTCCGATTTAAAAAGATGTAAAGAAATCTAAATGCAGAAACAAAATCACTTT